CAGAACTCATTCACAAAACCACAAAGTAATTACGGCATCAAGCTTATCCATGCACAAAGCAGTATTTATTATGAAAGAAAGTCAAAGTCTGCATTCATATTATAGATAGTGTCTGTGCCGACATGTTGCAGAGCAAATGTTTTTACATTCCTGCCAACAGCTGCTTTGTTAGTAATAACTTTTTCTCAGAGTGAACATTTAACTTAAATATACTCCCTAAATTAAATTACCACTATTAGTAGATTTTATCTCATGTTATAGAACAAATTACATTCAGTAATGCTAACTGCAAAAGACTCTTGGCTCTGTGCTCAGATACTATTTATTGCATGTTTCTCATTCCCGCAGCATCATATTCGCATCCAATCAGGTGTCTTCGGTTTCCGCCATCCCTCGGCTTGAATTAGATGTCCTTGCCGCACTCTGGGCACAGGATGTCATCGCGTTCGGTGAGGAACCCACGTCCGACCAGGGACACAGAGCACTTCTTGCAGTTGAAGCAGTCATTGTGCCACTGGCGCTCCTCAAAGGAAATGTACTTGCTGCCTCCGAGACCTGAAAGAGTGAATCAAGTCAGAGTCAAGACGTCAGAGGAACACGAGAGGTGGTGTTAGGAATCAAGGAGATCAGTGATTACCGCTGATGGGTGTGGTGCAGGAGGCACACTTCTTGGCATAAAGGTTGCAGAAGCAGTTGAGACAATAAGCAAAGTCGTCTCTAGAGGTAAACCTCTGGCCAGACAGCTGCTGCTTGCAGCTGGTGCACAGGAAGCAGTCCTTGTGCCAGGGCTGGTCATGGTAGGTCACCCCGCCAGTGGTGATGGGCTGGTAAGAGATAGAGAAGTAAGCATGGCTCTTTGAGTGACTGTGGAGCGTTGAAAATCATCAACACTGAATTTTACGATGCATCCTACCTTCTTGCAGTGCACACACTGCATAGCAAACTGCTTCTCGTAGCAGGGCACACAGAAGTTGTGGGTGTCCTTTGGGATGAAGCTCTTGGTGCCGATGGGCTGCTGGCATCTCTGGCAGGTGAAGCAGGTCTCGTGCCAGCTGTTGCCCTTGTGCTCCATTTTCCTGGAGCCTTCAGAAAAACAAGGCAATAATGAGAACATGAAATAGTCAGAATTAAAATAAATAAATATGTGGTTTGGAGTCTAGAAGATACAACTGAATAGTTTACCATGAAACCTAGTGAAAAGATGCAGTTTGTGTCAGGAAAGAATCTTTTAAATTTTGGTTTGTATTTTGATTCAGGGAGCAGATTCCAGGATTTTTTTTCTGAAGCATTTCAAGATTTGGCATTCACTGATTTTGGGAATAATTTATGGATCTTGATTAAAAAAAATATTTATGAGAGTCTGCAGAACCAAATATCCAGGTGTATTGAAGGTTTCATGAGGAATGCTCTCTGCG